ACCAGGCTATCACGCTAGACCCAGGTTTGTCTTAATTTAAAAACAAACAAAAACGCTCTTAAAAGATTGAGGAAGCTGCAGAAACTCCCAAACACAATCTGGTATCACAACCAATTTATAAGTCACATCCTCAGAAAGACACTCTCAGAACACAGATCAACACCTAACCTCTGTCCTCCTAGCACTCTGATTTGCTGCTCCCTTGTCTTCCCCAACAGGATGTAAAACCCTAAGAAGGCAAAGGCCTTGCCTAGTGCACGGCTGAATGTGGCATCCACCACAATGCCCAGCACTGGGCGAGTGCTCAAATACTTGCTGAAAGAATGAAAACAGCAGTTTTCACTTGTAGATGACCAAAAAAATGTAGAGAGATAAACCTTAAAAAGAACAGAGCATTAAAGCTGTGTGGAAAAACTTCAACAGCACTGAAGTTTTCAAATTACACAACATAAAACATTAGGTACAGAAATAACTATTCCTTAAAAAAAATAAAAAGATCAGATTTAGGGAGACACAGAGAAAATCTTCTAACCGCTGGTTCACTCCCCAAGTGGCTTCAACGGTTGGAGCTGAGGTGGAGCTAAGCTCATCCACAGGAGGAGACAGAGGCCCCTTCCTGGTCTCCCAGGTAGGTGCAGAGTCCCAACTGCTTTCCCAGGTCACAAGCAGGAAGTGGAGCAGCCTGGACACACACCAGTGCCCATAAGGGATCCTGGTGTGTGCAAGGTGAGGATTTAGCCATTGAGCCATTATGCTGGGCCCAATGTATTCCATTTTATAAAAATCCAAAATCAAAACTGCAACTTCCAAAAAATCAACTGAAAAAACCCCAAAAATACAGAAGAATAACTGAGAACCCAAGTGTAAGGAAGGAAAGAGTGCAGAAGATTTAGAGAAACAAAATGAAGCACATATTTTGCTTACAAAATGGAAATATCACGTCCAGGACATGTAAATATACACTAGTACCAAACCATTAAATACACCTAAACAGAATCCAGTAGTTATAGGCAGCTTTGCTTCAAGGTAACAAAGATTTTTTCCTAAATGGGGCTAAAATAACTATTAAGAATAACATACTGCACTTCACATCTTCTAAATTAATTAAAAATCATACAAAATCCCAGATGATAAAAGTAATAATCCCCAGACGAAGAACAACAACAAAAAAATGAGAAAAGTGAATAGCTAAAAGAACTAAAAGAAAGCATGCAGGTAGAATTCTCTTAATATGTAAGCAAAGCAGAAGCTATAAAAGGCAAGAATTAATCTACATTTCTGAAAAGGTAAAAAGCTTGCATGTTTTGAAAAAAAAAAAAAAACGCCATAAGCAAATAAAAGGCAAAAAAAGAAGAATGAGAAAAATATCTTCACTACGCAGTAAAAGGCTGCCACACAACTACACAGAGGGTATCAAAAATACAGAACCCCACCCAAAGTGGGCCAGTGACAGGCGGAAGCTCCCACTGCCCACAGCTCTGCTTAACACCTAGGGAATCCTGTGCAAAGAGAAGCAAAGGCGAGAGCGCAAGTAAGTCCAAGAGTCACCGAAAGTGTGGATTCTTAGACGCAGGCGGTGGTGGCCTAACCTTTCAGGAAAAGCTGGCAATATTCATGAAAAGAAAAAAAGAAAGGTTCATGTTTTCATTTATTCCCGAGACTGACCCTCAAGAAGTGGCGGCTCTAACGCTGGGGATCATCACATTGTGTAGTAAGAGGAAAAAAAGCAGTACACTGTACGCAGGACAGCTGGCCAAATGATGCTACTTCCATGTAATGAAATGTGCCCTCACGTGACTTACATTCAAGCAGGGGATACAGAAACAGTCCCACAGTCCCCCAAAAGAACAGATTTTCAGTCGTTAGGTTTTCCATGGAAGTTAGCAGAGTAACCCAGGAGTCAGGAATTGACAGCTGAGAGAAATGACACACTCAATAATCCCAAAGGCCAGGAGAGCTGAGATCCGCGTCCTAGGGAGAGAATGGAAGAGGTAACGTCTGTGATGCTCTCAGAGCAGCATAATCTGAAGTGGTGACCAGCAAGTCCCACGTGGCCACTGAGTCGTGCACCTGACTCATCAGCGGGCACTGTGCTGTAAACACAACTCCCATCGGATCATAAAGTCAGTTCGAGAAAGTACAACAGCGCAGTGTAATTTTCTATATTAACTACATGCCCAAATCAGTGTATCTTGGGTTGAATAAAATGTATTTCACCTATTTGTACCCCCCCCCCTTTTTTTTTGTAATGTGGCTACTAGAAAATTTAAAATTGTTTCCTGGGGCTCCCATTTGTGGTTTGCACTAGCATTGCTGGTCTAACCATACACAAACCACAGTGTGAAGTTTGAAGGGTCTGAGCCCATAATTTACACATGTACAGGGATGTTTCGACAGGAGCAGCCTCAGAGTGCAGAGGTGCAGAAGGTGAAGCAGGCATCACCACATCACACTGGGGGCGAGTTTAGCAAGCACAGCCAGCCTAATCCTGCTGTGAATAGTTAAGATATAGAGTATACACACAGAGACAGGTGTTGGGACTAGCAGTGAAGAAACTCTGGGACACTCACATCCCACATTAGAGTGCCCTCGGGTCAAGTCTTAGCCTCCATTCCATCCTAGCTTTCTACTCCGGGAGGCTGCAGGCGGGGGGGCTCAACTCTTTGGGGAGACCAGACTGAGTTCCAGGTTCCCAGCTTAAGCTGTTGCAGGCATCAGGGAAGTGAACCAGTGGACCGGAGAGAGATACACAGTCTACTAACAGCTCTCTACAGTGAGAGATGTTATAGCTGGCCTTTCTTCCTAACTTTTGTAAACATTTATTTATTTTACAACTTTTTATTCCCTCTTAAAGTACAGGGAAAACATACACGCATGCCCTTACACACACACACACACTCAGGTGTTTTGAAGAGAATGGCACAGCCCTTACCAAAACAAAGGGAATCCTGATACTCCCACAACTCCAAACAAAACCATTTTTGTTATCTGAAATTATACATAGATTCACATCTCACACACACACACCACCCCAACTACCAGCACCTTCAAGAAAGTCAGGGAAATGATTTGGTTCTGCACTGCTGCTGCTCGCCTGACAGAGACATCGTTCCGGAAGCAGGGGGTGGGAGGAGTGTCTCAAAGCCAAAACACACTGAACTGTATACGCTTCAGATGTTGAAAACAGCCCCAACCATCAGCAGAAATGTCCCGAAGGATGCAGGATAGAATTCCACACACAGAGCAACAGGTGGGTCTCCAAGCTCCCCTTGAAGATGCTGCCATGCGACAGGTGTGCCTGCCTTCCCCCAGGCCCAGGACAAGTGGAGGACAGGTGCCTCACGCCAGTGCGCCTGCCAAGCTACAGGAGTCGTTGGGTTGGGGGATAAGGGGCAAAGCAGAGTGATTTATTTCAGAGTATTGCTCCTGCTACCGAAAAAAGGAGATGCTGAATAATGCCTGATGACTGCAGAGTAACTTCCCAAGGGCTCGTTGTAAACAGTGAAAGAGATCGCTGGAGTCTCACAGATTCTGACCACCAGGGACCCATCAGGATGGGGAAGAAGCTTCCCACTGAACATGAAACAGAATCCTAATGTTTCCCAGTGGACTTTATTTTTAAGTACCGCCTTCTATTTCCCTCATTTACCTGGAGCTTTCTAAGGCAATCTCCATGCAGTACACACAGGAGTGAGACACCAGCAGTGTTCGAGTAACACAAAGTTAATGGCAAAATCCAGACACAAAACACTGCCTTTTATGCCCAGGAGTTACGGGAGACAAATACAAATCTTAAACAGAGCAGCATACTACTTTTGATCAAGCACAAAAGAAAAACAAACCGAACGCCACAGTGTCTTGGCATACAAACACACGTGATAAGACTCACTTCTTAAAAAGGTAAAAGAATGACTAAGCAAGTCCACCGGACTAGACTGCGGGCCTCCAACACCAGGGAAAACACAGCAGCAACTTCTCATGTTCCAAGCTCCCGGGACACTGTTTTACCTTCCCATATTGTTTTTAAAGTATTCTCTGTGGTACTGTATATATTCTCGGTCACTTAAAAAAAAAAAAAAAAAAAAAAAACTTTACTGGCCTATAACTGACATATGCGCACCCAAGTATTTAAAATGTAGAACAAGGTAAGTTTCCACAGTCCAGGTTATAAATCCATCAACCCCTAACTACTCCACCCGTAGACATATGATTTCTACTCCCTTACATGTACTGAAAAATATTTTCTCTCTAGAATGTAAAGTCGGTGGAGAATAAAAAGTGAGATAACTTGTTTTGGAAGTCTAATCGTGCATATTCCCTAAACCCCCGTCAACAAGTCAGCAAGTACCCTAAAACTGGTGACATCATTACTACACGACTAACCTTCCAAGTGTACGGCATTTCACATTTAAAAAACAAAAAGCAAACCCTGAAGTCAGTACTGAAAAAGAGGAAAATTTACCCCAGTCTCTCAGGAGTTTCTAGCCCCGAAGGAACAACTTGACCCACGTGCTGCGCGTGACCCCCAGGACCCCCCGCAAAACGCGCGGGGTGAAGGTCTTGGGGGCGCCTCCTCTTGGAGAAGCTGAACCGAGTTCCCAGCACCACAAATATCAAATCCACCACGGAGAACAAAGCCGAGGCTCCCAGTCGCGTCCTTCGCCCGTCGGCGGCGTGGGAAAGAGGGCAGCAAATCTGACCCCGCTGCGCACCCCTCGCCCCACGAAACGCCGCAGGTGGAAAAACATTCCAGAAAAAGAACCTCGCGCTCGGCGGGGGGCCCGCTGCCGGGGGGCCGGACCCTGCGCCCTGCACCCACCAACGGCCCGGCCGCACCGGGGTGGGCGAGGAGGGTGTCCGGGCCGGCCCCCTCCCCAACGCCCGGGCCGCCACCTGCTGCGCCGCCTCCGGCTCGCGGGCCTCGGCCGGCGGGGGGGAAGGGAAGGGCCGCGCCGGGCCGAGGCCCCGGTCTTCCCTCCCGGCCCGACGCCGCTGCTCACCTGGCGGCGGCTTCCCCACACCTCGCCGGACGCGCCGTCCGCCGCTGCCGCCCGCCGGTCGCCGCCGGTGAATGGGGACAGGTGAGGCCGCCGAACCCCCCAGCTCGCTCCGGCCCAGCCGCCGCCGGCCCCTCCGTCCGCTGTTTAGTAAACTTTTCTGTGGGCTTGTTCGGCCTGTGACGCGCAGTCGGGGACGGCGTCCGGATTGGTCGACGCCCGGCGCTGACGCCGCGCTCCCCGCCCGCAGCCTGATTATTACCGGCCCGAGGCGGAGCCGCGGCGCCCGGAGGGGGCGGGACCTAGGCCCTCCGCGCACGGCGATTGGCCGACGCCGAGGGAGGAGGCGGGACGCAGCGAGGGGAGCCGCTCCTCCGCCCTCGGCAGGGGCGCTCCGGGTCGCCTCAGGGTTGCCGGAGGGCGGAGTGAGTGGGTTTCCGCAGAGATTTTTTTTTTTCCCCGAAGGGCCTGGAGGAGGTCTGGATTTAGGTCCTTCCGCCGCCTTTCGGGGAGCGGGGAGTTCACGTCCAGAGTTTGCGCCCCACCTGCCTGGTGGTATCTGTAGGAATTCTCGGTCGGCCGAGCGAGCGCAAAGTCCGCGCTCGGGGCTTCATCTTCCCCGCCTAGTCCAACAGGGCCATGGCTTGGAAAGAGAAGCCAGGCCAGAAAAACATGCTTGCACAGGTGCACAAGCCCCAAAAACGCTTCCCGCCACTACCCTGTTCCCAACTTTACCCAAAAGCGAGGTGCTAGTCGTCCCTTAGCCGGCGCTCTCAGGAGGCGCGGAGCCGGAAGTGCACTAGTCACACAGGACTTGGTGAGTGTCAAGTCCATGAGATTCTACTCTTTAATGCTTTGTAAATGCATGAGTAATTTTTTTTTTTTTGGTGGTAGTGGTTGCATTAATTTCTTTTTAAGGAAGATTGAGATTCCCTCCCTCCCTTCCACTCCCATCCCTTAAAGTTTGTGTTGAGGTAATTAATGATGCCTTCAGGCTCAGTAGCCAGCGCCCTGCCTGGGGGAGTGGACTTCTGTTTGAGCATTCTTGATGGAGGGGGAACACGGAAGCTAGGATGTATGCCGGAGGTTTCTGACCCTTGCGGAGCCTGCTGGGAACAGAAAAAGGGGAGAGGTTTTGTGAGGCGACGCGCAGGTGCTTTACAAATGAGCATGGAGAGGAACCTTCCCTTGGAGGTGGTGCCCTGATGTGATACCGAGTTTTAAGAGCCCTGGCCCACTTCAGCTGCAGAACCTGAGAGAGAGGTTCAAGTTCTCAAAGCCCCGTCACCCACGTGGGGGGAAACTCGCGTTGATATCGCAGGTGTTGAGGGGAGTGAACCAGCAAATGGAAGATGCTTGCTCGCTGTCTCTCTCGCGCTCTCTCTCACTCTCTCACTCCCTTTCCAAGAAGTAAAAAGTAAAACGCGCGCTCTCTCTCGCTCTCTCTCGCTCCCTTTCCAAGAAGTAAAAAGTAAAACACATTTCTTCTCAATTTAAAAACTCACACACGAGGCTAATCCAAAGAAAGGATTGTACCAAGACTGGAGATAGCCTGAGCTTCAATTTCAATAGGTCTTTACCAAACTGAGTAGGGGGGATTGGCTTTCCTTGGTGAGAGATGACAAGCCATTTTAGAACAGAAAAGGGAAGGGAGGGGTGGATTAAAACAATTTGGTCGGACCCTGTTAGTCCCAGGAATAATCTTACAACCTTGGGGAGCTTTGACTTGTTCGATAGTCTGTTTCTCTGGAAAGAACCTGAGGTTTTAGCTGGGATTCAGGTTCCTGCTCAGCCCAGCAACCTGGAGCGGTCAGGTAGCCCAAGATAGATCCCAGCCAGGATGGATTTTTAGTTCTCGAGGGTGAGACTTGCAAGCAGTGACCTTGATAAGTAACTTTTCTATGTGATGAGTTAGGAGGTCGGTGTTAGAGATGGAAGAAAATACAGAGCAGAGTGGAGGGTTCGAGTTGAGGGCAGGTTCAGTGTCAAGTGTGGTAGTCAGGATAGGTTGGGCTGAAGAGGGAAGGACTGATCAGAATTGTAAGAGCTCAAGGTGTTAGCTACCAGAAGAACATTCCACTGAGAACTAACAGCTCCCCAGGGTGGTCCATTGTGTCAGAAACTCCTGATTCAAGTAAAGGATTGACCTTTGCATTTAGTAGCTCGCAGGGTGGGGGTGAGGGTGGGGGGGGGGAGCAACCTGCTTGTGTTCGGCAGGAGCCTGAGGAAAGAGGCAGTCAGAAGACAGTTCAAAATGTTCCTCAGGGCCCAGCGGCGTGGCCTAGTGGCTAAAGATCTCACCTTGAACGTGCCGGGATCCCATAGGGTACCAGTTCTAATCCCAGCAGCTCCACTTCCCATCCAGCTCCCTGCTTGTGGCCTGGGAAAGCAGTCGAGGATGGCCCAAAGCCTTGGGACCCTGCACCCCATGTGGGAGACCCGGAAGAAGTTCCTGGGTTGTGGCTTCAGATCGGCATAGCACTGGCCATTGCGCTCACTTGGGGAGTGAATCATTGGACGGAAGATCTTCCTCTCTGTCTCTCCTCCTCTGTGTATATTTGACTTTGCAATACATAAATAAGTCTTTTCAAAAAATGATCGTGCAAACTGGACTTAAGAAGTCCACTCAGGTAGTAAAAAAAAAAAAAAAGAAAGTTTGATATGCAGGCACACAAAGGATGTTCAAAAAATTTTGTGAAAAATGTGTACAATGAGAAAATAAAATCGCATTGCTTTTGAAACGTGTGGCAGCAGGAGAATGTTGTAATTCCATTTTTTCTGTAAGCATTCTGAAATACCCTTCGATCAACTTGTTACAGGTCCTAGGGAGAGTTTCACACAATGATAAATGTGATACATCTTCATGAGCTGGCCAGGATACTGAACAAATACTTATAGAGATTATCTTTTTGTCCAGAGCTGTGTCCTTGTCCAGTTTATCACTGTTCACCTTGGTCCTAACAAGTTACATATTCATGTCTTGGTAATAAATTATATTATGAATTATAAATAAATTGCAGACATTTGCTGTTAGGCCCTTTCGCTGTTCGCCTTCCTTCCCAATCAGTAGGACATTGAGATGGAGAGATGGCCGCACTGTGCAATGATTTGCAATTCACAGACCACTCCCATTCCATAGCCTGTAGTCCTCAGAAAACCAAGGAAAATGGGGACAGACACCTAGCCGAAAGGCTGTTATGAGGGTTAAAAGATACATTATAAGACGTTGACACTGTTGCTGTAGTGTGTTAGGCCACCTGCCATGCCAGCTTCTCATATGGATGCCAGCTGCTGCACTTCCGATGCAGTAGTCAGCTAATGCACCTGGAAAAGCAGCTGAGGATGGCCCAAATGCTTGGACACCTGCCACCGTATGAGAGGCTTGGATGGAGTTCCTGGCTGCTGCCTTTGTTGTGACTCTGCCCTGGTTTTTGGGACCATTTGGACAGATGATAAGATGGTATGTCTCTCTCTCTCTTCCTCTCTCTGTAGCTCTATGTTTCAAATAATAGAGAAAAAACTTGTTTTAAAGATTTACTTATTTTTATTACAAAGTCAGATATACTAAGAGGAGGAAAGAGAGAAAGGAAGATCTTCCGTCCGATGGTTCACTCCCCAAGTGGCCACAAAGGCTGGAGCTGAGCCAATCCGAAGCCAAGAGCCAAGAGCTGTTCTGGGTCTCCCATATGGGTGCAGGATCCCAAGGCTTTGGGCCATCCTGCACTGCTTTCCCAGGCCACAAGCAGAGAGCTGGATGGGAAGTAGGATTAGTGGGATTAGAACCGGTGCCCACATGGGATTCTGGCATATGCAAGGCGAGGACTTTTAGCAGCTACATTAGCATGTGGGGCCCAAAGAACTGTTGTTTTTGTGAATTTCATCAGTCAGCATTTTCTGTTAGACATTAAAATAGACGTTTTAAAATGTATTCATTCATTTAAATATAGCCGTAATGACCTGTTTCATGTTAACATCCAGAATGTTTTTATTACATTCATTTATTTGTTTAAAAAGGCAGGAAAACAGAGACAAAGAACTTCTACCAGCTGGCTTACTCCCCCATATACTCATTTACTTTCTCAACAGCCAGGGTTGGACCAGGCCAAAGCAAGGTGCCAGGAACTCAATCCAGGTCTCCATTTGAGTGATAGTCATCATCCACCAACTCCCAGGTGGATTAAAAAAAAAAATTATGTTTATATAGAGAATCCGAGTTATGGAAAAAGAGGGAGAGGGAGAAAGAGAGAGAGGAAGAGAGATCTTTCGTCTGCTGCTTCATTTTCATTATGGCTGCAATGGCTGGGACTGAGCAGACTAATGCCACAAATCAGGAGTTTTATTGGGGTCTCCCATGAATGTGGCAGGGGCCCAAACACAGGCTATCTTCCTCTGCTTGTCCAAGGCCACAAACAGGCAGCTAATTTGGAAGTATGAGAGGGAGACTCCCATCCCAGTACTTCCGGGTCTCCCACATGGGCCAGGGTCCCAAGGCTTTGGGCCGTCCTCAACTTTTTTCCCAGGCCACAAACAGATAGCTGGATGAGAAACAGGGCCTTGGGATATGAACTGCCCATATGGGATCCTGGCAGGTTCAAAGCAAGGACTATAACCACTACACTATTGCACTGGGCCCAACACCAGACTTTTAAAGGAAGGTTGTCAGGTAGGCATCCAGGGAGGAGGGGCTTGAGCCATTTACATCTCAACAGCAAGGTACAGTTCCCCAAAACACAGCTAGTTCCTCTAGCAGGTTCTTTATCTAAACCTCATCAATTGCTCTTGGTGCCTTCAAGGGGATTCAACTAGCTATTGTCTCCCACAGTAGCAAAGATTCTGAATGTCCTTCTAGGGATTTCTCAACTTCCCATAGGCAAGACACACTATAGCCTTTCTTCTGTAGTCATACCCTGTTAATGTCAAGATGTGCCCATCTGTATCTGTTTCCTTCTTAATGAGATTAACAATTTGGGTGCTGACATCCTGGCACAGTGAAGAAACCACTCCCATTTGTGCTCTGATTTAAATCCCGGCTGCTCCACTTCTGATCCACCTCCCTGCTAATGTGCCTGGGAAGGCAGCATGTGATAGCCCAAGTTCTTGGACCCCTGTATCCATGTGGGAGACCCAGAAGTGGGTCCTGGCTCCTG